CGCCTATGCAGACAAACAGTTTATCTTGAGAATCCATCACTATCAGAACACTTGTTTCACCGTTTTCACTAATAGTTCACATGCGTAGACAGTTAATACATAAAATCGCACCACTTTTACATATCAAAATCCACTTCAAACTATTATTTAAACTATAATACAGGAGCAGCAAACCATCGCCGGTCAAGTTCCCGCCAAAACCTTTGATTTTTTGACAAAAATGACAATTGACATTTTGAGACTATCTATTTTTTTTGGTTATGGCCTTGTACTATCATTTTTTTGCCAGTGTCAAGAAATAACCTATGTTTCAAATTTTCAGTCCACTTGTTAGTAAGTTGCTACTGTAGTCCATGGACAATTGCAGTCAACTTCAAATAAAGGCAACAGATTGAACAGAAGCGTTGCCATTGCCACCTGTGAGGGTTATGATGAAATGCCTCACATCCTATAAGTACTTGCTCTCTATACCCTTCAGACCGGAACACAACATGCAATTGTATGGAGGAACTTTTAGCTCTCAGGCAGAAAAGGAGTCCTACCAAATGCTAAAACTAATAATGTTTGTAAATAATATAAAGCATAATAAAACAGAAAAATGTATGTGCCTTCAACAGCGTTAGTGCTCATCCCATGATAATATACATTGAGCTCTCCATCATCCATTACAGCCTATATAAGTCCACTGCTGAACCTAGGCGTCCCCTATCAATTGCTTCTATAGGGACGAATTTACCACCATATTAGGCACGTTTGGTGGTTGACAAACGGGGCTTTTTTTAGTATTTTAAGCTGTTATATGAAAGACGCTATTTCTTCAAACTTCTGCTTCAGTTAACTTCTGCCACCTCTTACAGCACCCACATGACGACATGGAGATTAAAAAAAAAAGACGGCTCCGTGGCGCAGTGGCTTAGCAATGAGTTGCTGCGCTGAGGGGCGCGGGTTCGAATCCCGCACGAAACAAGTATTTGTATGGCCTACAAATGATTGTTCCGGGTCTGGATGTTTGTCCTTGTGAAATTTGTGTTTGTAAACTGCCTCCACGATACAGGAGAAAATCCTAGTGTGGGGGTAACGTTTTTAAAAAAATAAAAATGGAGATGGAATCGATGTCCGTCGATAGTTGTTATACTGATTTATAAAAAGCAATCTATGTAGATGGTATTTAGATGGTGGACTTTTAACATAAAACTACTAGATGCGCGCGCTTACCGTAATCCAGTAGACAGTTGATAATGATATTATCTCAATGATAACTTGCGGTTTATATCACCTTTGGAGCATTTCCAAAATCGTTTCCATTACGTTATAATCGCACCTTTTGATGTATCAAAATCGATATTAATGCAAGAGAAGCAAGCCGCAGACGGTTAAGTTCAAATCATGGTGGAACATGCAAGCTCAAAATTTTTGACGGTTATTTTTTTTTTAGGAAAGGAGGTAAAAGAGCATACGGCTAAACCTGGTGGTAAGTGACTACCGTCGCCCATGAACAACTGCAACACCAGGGAAAATACAGGTGCGTTGCCGGCCTTTAAGAAAGGAGTAAGATATTTTTTGAAGATCCCTAAGTCGTATCGATCCAGAAAAATCGTCGGTGGTAAGCTATTCCACAGAGAGGTCGTAAACGGAAAAGAACTAGTAAAACGTACAGTGGTGGACCGCCAAGAATCCAAATGGTGTGGATGGTATCGGGAATTTTGCCCCAATGTGCATTGGTGAAATTTGGTGGCTGGGATTAATCCGAACAATTCCTCAGAGCACTCCTCATGGTAGATGCGAAAGAAAACGCAACATTTCTTCACAGCGCCAGTGAATCGAGCCGCTCTGCGCTGGATGCTGTCGAGTGGTCCGCTCTGCTGAGCACGCCAAGCTTTTTAGAGGCTAATTTGGCATTCTCTTCCAAGTGACCACGAAACTGCACGTCACTGGATATGTCAACGCCAAGGATTCCGATACTGGCTCAGGCAACAAGAAACTGAGGAGATACGACAAAGGGGTTTATTTAAGCGGTAAACGCGCAAATGTGTGTCTTCTGAGATCCGAAACTTAGTTCAGCAAAGACTCTACTTCAGACACAAGTTTGTTCTGGTACACGGCAACGTTTTACCGAGAAATATTGACACGGCTGGTGTATAGAGCATCACCAGTGCTGTCATCCGCATACACCAGCGTTAATAGGCTTGTAATCGGAGCACGCACCGTCTACGATGACCTTGATGCTCCGATCAGCCAGAAAACTAAATTTTAACTGATCTCTCTTTGGGGGTAAGCTGTAGGAGCTATATGAAGTATGGTAACATTTCTGATATTGTAACCTCCGTACCGTTTCTTCTACGTTTAATATAAATATTCATCGTGTGAGGCTCTTTCTTCAAACTCCATATCCGGTTCAATGCGGGTGACACGCCAGGCGTGCAATCGATTACTTTTGTGTGTGGCGTACGACACGCGAGTCGTATCTTTTTAAAAATAACGTTATAACTCGCTCAAATTCCTTTTTTGGAAAATTTATCCAGAACAAAATATTCATTATTTTGCGAGTAGAGTAGAAAACAAGTCTCCTGTTAAAAAAAAACAACGCGTTTGTCTTATTGTTTAATTTTGCTTAAAATGGCTGAACTGCCGTCTTATTACTATCATATGGCCGAATAGACCTATAAAGTACCATGTGCTCTTGTGATATGGTATAAGGTTTATTTTTGCTTGAAACAGTTCGAAACCGTTCATGCATAAAAAAAGTTCGCTAATAAATAGTCTTTTTGTCAATCCGCTGCCGTATAGCGCCGGCGTTTTTTTTCCTTTTGAAAACACTTGTTTAGCTATTCTTACTAATTAGATGTTTTCAGATCGACTTTACTTATACATTTGTATAACATTAAATAATATTTAACATTTATAAATATCAATGAATGATATACCTTATCTTTTTTTCAAATTAAGGTTCTTCATTGTTTGATATTTACAAATGTTATTATTAGGTGAAAATTTAATTTAATAAAAACCAAGGTGATTTAGCTGTACCTACTTATATAAATGATTTTTTTATAACAACAAAAATAGTACAAAAGGTTTGTAATCTCTTCATAAAAAAAGTCACTTTCTCTCAACTTCAAAGAAAACGCGTAAAAAAACACGTAGTCACCCACTAAAAACAAGTATTCTTCCATTTGTAACTTATGTTTGATGTCAAATAAACTTAATTAGGTCTAAACAAGTAAAAAAAGCATAAAAAAGAACATTACTTTTACACATGGCGGATGGCACAAAAGGCGTGTCGTTTGTCGTGGCTGTGGCGCTTGACACGCCCGGCGTGTCATGAAATATTTGTTCGCCGCCACAGCTAAAAGTTGTCGAAAATTGGTGCCGCAACGAATCGGATATCCATGAATAAGAATCTGTCATATTTCGAGTCTTTACAAAACAGTTCAACCATAAAGCTGTTAGGTCGGTGTCAGTTAAAATAATGCATTACCACGTATTTTGAATCTAAAAGATAAAAAGGACAAAATGTTTGAGATTTTTCTTCACCATTTGCCTATATTACTTATTCTGAACTTTCTCTGCAAAACTGGCCGGTTATTACAAAATAACCCTGTATACGTGGTAGAGCCATGCTGCAGCTATATTTCTGATATAGTTGTAACACGAATGGGTCGGCTCGATCGCTTAATGCTGCTGTGTTTCGTATGGTGAGTGTAGAGAACCGGAGACCCTTTTTACTGGAAACGAGGCATTCCATCTTAGTCCTCACGGGTGACAACGCATCTGCTTTTTGATTCGTAATCGAGGATAAATATAGATGTCTATGGGCCACAGCAACCACTTACCATCAGGTGGACTGTGTGCTCGTTTGACACCCTTATCCTAAAAAAAGGTATAATAAGAATTGTTACGGCCTACGGCTGCTCCCTTAAAGGGTCAAATCCTCAGGGGCCCATGAGTAGAAGACTCCCGAGCAGACGTAGGTCGGGCCTCAATGTGGGAGGACGCTAGAAAGACATAGTACTTACCATTATCCGAAGCTAACTTCGCACCAAGGCTTGGGCAGGCCGTGAGTGTGTGTAATAGTGGATGGCGAGTAGTGTACAGTGAGGTGTGAATGTGTGCGGCCTTGTCAAGCATAGGCGACCAGCCGCGGCCGAGTTCCAGGCTGCTCCAAAATGCTGCAGCGCTTCAGACTGCTTCGGCGCCGGACCACAGTCACTTTCCTCGTTCGTCACGATGACAGTCAATTAACTCTATCGTACGATTAACTAACTTACAGAAGCCACTAACTATCGCTGGGTATAAGGTTAACGCACAAAACGCACACGGAATTTCTGGATCAAAGGTCACTACCGTTTCGCGTAGCAACAGTTAGTTCTAGAATATCAGAGGCCGCACTAGCTAATATTGTCGAATGCACTTATACAGATTCTGAGTCGGACCCAATAAGTCCCGGGAAAGGCTATCCAAACAGGGAATGCGCGTTATAAATCCTAGACAGGATATTTACTAGACGCCCTAACTATTCCGCGGTTCCCGCACAAAAATAGACAGCGTGCAGACATTAGCACAGCTAGCAGACGACTAAGCCTTTTCGCTCGCGACCCGCGCGCCACTTGCCACGCTCGGCCGAATTTCAAACCAGTATCGCCCAGAGCCGCGCGCCCCCTAGACGTCGATTCCGACAACCAGTATTTGGCGCGAACAATAATGCTTACGTTTCAAGAATTTAAAGAAGTATCTATATAAGTATGACAAGAAATCTTCATCATTGCAGTAATCAAATCGACACGTCCTCTGTCTTATTATTTAGAATGTTAAGTTTAAATTCATATGGCACGTAAGGAACGAGAATAACAAAAGAGGGCAAAATCCATAATAATATATTAAACAATAAAAAACAGGAAATAACAACTTTTAATTTAAAATTAACAAATCCTAAATTCTACGGTCTTTTGACTAAAATTTGATCTATCCAAAAGGGAACCCCAACTGCCGAGGATTTCTTCTCAGGTCGCTGACAGTTTCATTCCCATCTCCCCACACTTGTAGCCAATCTCTCTCATTAGGTAAGGGGTGCGTTCATGAGCAGGGGTCTTCAACCATTCTGTCACATTAATAGAGACTGTTGCATAACCCTGTTTGTCCAAAACGTCCAGGACTAAGCGAAATGTGCCCCGAAGACGATTACTGTTCATTGAATAGCATCCTTGATTGAAGTTCAGTATACAGATCCTAAAAAATATACAAATTAAAAATAAACATTGGAGGGTTGGAAGGTCTGAGAATTGCCAGCATCAGGCATGCGACATGACTTACGAAAGTTATAATCATATAATTACTTATTCAGCTACTTTGTATTTGTCGATCAAAACCTTTTTGCTACTTTTAGCTGATGTTTGATGACAAAAAATATACCAACATTTAAAAGTATTTTTATACACAATTTCTAAAAAAATGTCGATTTAAAACCTTAAAAAAGTATATCATTCAAAAAAACTTAAATGAATAAATAGAAAAGTTATTAATCACTATTTGTTGTGAATTGCACCAATTCTTTATAATGCATGAAACAAAACATAGCTTACGGTAATGATCCTAATGGTAGGTTCAGTTTTTCAATTGGTATCTTTTCCTCCTGCGTAGTGTTTGGTAGTTTAACAGGGTTGCCATTTTTCATACACAAAAATAGATCTAAAAATAAGAACAAGATAATTTAGCTTAATCTTTACGTAAATTATCCTTATGCATTTTTTATAAGGGTAATAAACGAGTACACAGTCCACCTGATGGTAAGTAATTGCTGTAGCCCATAGACATCTACATCTATTCTCGACTACGAATCAAAATTCAGATGCGTTGTCACCCGTGATGACTAAGACAGAATGCCTCATTTCCAGTAAAAAGGTCTCCGGTTCTCTACACCCACCATACGCAACACAGCAGTGTTACGCTGCTATTTTACGCTGGTATTCTGTGAGAGCGTGCTCCTTCCCCAGTCGATCCGACGTATTCATGCTACAACTATACCACTAATATAGCTGCAGCATGGCTCTACCATGTAAACAAAAGTGGGACAATTAGACTTTTTTTTCTTTCAATTTATTAATATACTAATTTTATAACTCACCAGCAACAACACCACTTGGTAACACCACATTCTTTGCGATATATTCCTCACCACCCAAGCCTCTGACCAGGCTTTCCTTTAAATGCTCAGTTAATGCATGAACTGGATAAGCCGCCTTGGCTTTCTCCAGGATTTGGGGTGGTAATTTATACTCATCACTATAAAATGCATTCACTGCTTCATTCAATGTGAGGAGTTGTAGCAGATCAAGGGTGTTCTTCTCCCTCGATAAGTAATCTTGGAGGAAGTCATCAGAGAAAACCCTTTTGAGTAATTTATCTTCATAATGTCCGAGTGAAGCGAGCTCTAGACAGAATTTAGGCCATGGTAGAGCAGCATTGGTAGCATTCAGGATTGGATTTTTTGATATTTGCTCGCGCATTTTGTCCCACTGCTCTTGTTCCGGTGTGTAATTGTTGTTGGAGAGGCAGTTCACAAAGCTGAAGAGAATGTTCGTCCGGGCATTGGACAGATCTACTGGCCCAATTGTAACAAGGTTGCAGAGATATTCCATCAAGCCTAGATGTGTGTGAGCCTAGAATCAGAAAACATACAAATTTTAATACTCTCTATGCAGACTTAAAAAATGAGAAAACTGAAAAATCGAATTAGAACACTATAGTTTTTTTTTATAGGATAGGGTGACAAACGAACACACAGTCCACCTGATGGTAAGTGGTTACTGTGACCCATAGACATCTACATCTATCCTTAATAAAGACTCAAGATGCAGATGCGTTGTCACCCGTGAGGACTAAGATGGAATGCCTCTTTGCCACTAAAAAGGGTCTCCGGTTCTCTACACTCACCATACGAAACACAGCAGCGTTAAGCTGCTATTTTACGCTGGTTTTCTGTGAGAGCGTGGTCCTTCCCCATTCGAGCCGACCCATTCGTGCTACAAGCATAATATAGCTGCAGCATGGCTCTACCACGTAGAAACCACGTTCCGACATTATCGGAAATACAATTGTGTAAATCTTTGGTGGAAATATTGGTTGACTTCGTTGGTTTCAGCTCAGCTTGTGAGAACAACCTTTTACGTTATCGCCGAAATATAAACTTCAAGGTAATATAATGGTAATATAATTTATGTATTATAAAAAGTCTCTACAATACAGAAGAAATCCGATCATGGGGTAAGTTTTAAAAATTATAAAAAGAATATAACAAATAATTATTATATCCATATTAAAGCAAATTCGCTCTTCTGAAAAATATAAAAAGCAAGCCCACCAGACTATAGTAAGATTAGTTTTCAATTTCTTTTTTGATCATACATTCCATTGATCACAAATCATTAAACATATTATTTTTAAAACTAGAGTAATTTAAGGATATCCTGCTTTGATGAGAAAAATACATGGTCACGTTAGTGTTATACTGAATGTGTTAACCGCTATATTAAATAAAAAAGGTTAAATATATTAACCTTTTTTTGTTATAAAAAAACTCAAAGTATCTGCAATGAAGTACTTACCACTCGTGAGAGAATTCTGGCCACCAAAAGTGCTTTTTCAAATTCGATATTATTCCTGATAACATATTCAGCCGTCGCATCTAGTAACTGTTCGTGATAGTACTCCGGATGCTTCTCCAACACTCGACCCTTGACCTTCGCGGCGGTTTTGAGCACATCGTTGTATGTCAATTGGTCTATGCGTTGCACCAATATATCGTAACATATATGCAACAGTTGCACTCTGGTCGGGAAAAACTGTTCTGTACAGTTGATTTGGCAGAGCGACCAAACAATCGACTTAGCTGACTGAGCGTCTATGATTTGATCGTGTAAGAGGAGACCTGTGACAATGTTGTTGATGCATCGATCAGGTAGGTCACGATTGCAGCAGTACATTAGCATATCTTTTAAAAGTGGCAGATCATTGTTGTCAAGCTCCAATGGCAAATGGATTTGGAAGGCTAAAGGAAGCGCCAGTTTTAGAACATCTACCAGATGATTCTTGCTATCAAACTGATCTAGAACGAAGTCCAAAAACATGATCTGACGTATGTTTATCAGGTTTATGTTGGCCCGTATCAATTGAAGCATGGTTTGCACTATCAATGAGTCCACAGGGACTTTTAGATATGACAACACTTTGACGGCTTCTACAGCTTCGTTGACTTCTAGAGCGCGAGCATGTTTATTAAAATTTTGACAAAGAATACCAAACGCCGGATCCTTGATGAGGTTGTCGGTGTGATCGAATCTAAAAGAGAAATTATAGGGTTTTAGGTACATGTTGGTTAACTAAACTTTGACACATCCCTAATCAAAAAAGATTTTGTTGAGGTATCTCAAATATTATTAGAAAATAAACTACCACATCCAGGAACATCTGAGCATCTGACAGATAGCATTACAAGGATAAAATAAATCCTGTCCCAAATAAATCATGTGACACACGGGTGACGGGGCACGGCTACTAATGTCTAAGACCTTTAATACTTTGAGCGAGATGGTCTCAATTTTACCTAGGCTTATGACCATAAGCGTAGCCAAGATTTTTTCCATAGTGGACCTATAGGGATGCACACTTTACTACGTACGTCAAGCCTACTTGACATGACCTTGGCGGGACGTACAGCAAGATGGACCGTGAATAAGGCGCTTTAGTTTTATCACTGCAACATATAAAATAACACAATATTTTAAAACTAAATTTGTTTAAACTATTGAAATTTTATACCCAAATCCATTAAATAATCTGAGACGACTGATTTAGGTTCTTCATTATATCATAAGCCTATATCCTAGTGGTCTAGGATATAGGCTTATGACAGTGAAGTAAATATGAATACACATATGAAAACTAAGCTTTGAGGTGGTGGCCTAAAATAATCCATCACCCCATTTCTTGCATCGGAAATGCCAAAAAAATCGTGATTCTACGAAAAGATGGTGATAACGACTTTTAAGTTAATGAAGAACCTAAATTATTTAATGAATTTGGGTATAAAATTTCAATAGTTTAAACAAATTTAATTTTAAAATAGTGTGTTATTTTATATGTTGCAGTTATAAACTAAAGCGCCTTATTCACGGTCCATCTTGCTGTACGTCCAGCCAAGGTCATGTCAAGTAGGCTTTGACGTACGTAATTATTGACGCACGTCAAGCCTAATCATTGTCGTTTCGCATCGTGCGTCGTGCGTCGTGCTCCATCTTAGCGGGACGTACAGCAAGATGGACCGTGAATAAGGCGCTTAAGTGGCACCTGCAAATGTTTTTACAATTAAAAGGACTAAATCAAATTTCTAACTTGCCAGCCTTCTGTAGCTCGAAGAGGCTGCGTAAAGCTTGTAACAGGTGCTTGTGTGTCATCATCGGAAGGTGTTGCTGAACCATTGCCAATATGTTTTCAGCGGTCTGTGACGTTTTAATGCTAGCCATTATTGTATCTGGTGACTTAGTTCGCATTACCTCCGATACTGAAATGTAAAAATAGTTAGGTCTTATATATAATATCAATGAAATAGGTATTGCACCTATTTCACACATTGGTGTATAGTAACATCTCTATATAATAGGACAGGTATAAAATTGAAGTAAAATCTCCTTTGTTGTACTGTTTGTATCTGGCTGGTTTTTTTTATCAATACATATTATAAGACGTTAAGCAAAAGAAAAAACACTTTCGCGACATTTTTTCTTTGTTTTTCTGTCTGCCAAAATCTATCTATCTAACGAAGAAGTTCGATACATTCTGAAGTTTTAACAAGTGGTAACGAAGGGAAATGCGACTTGTGGCGGCGCTGTCGTCGCGCCACAAGCAAAAATACATCGAAGCCTAAATCGCACTATCAAAGTTCCGAACTAAAAGCAGTATAATATATAGAATAGCTCCGAACTACCACTCGGAGCGTTGGCCGCTCCCCGGATAGAACACCTTGCCCGGCGGGAGATCTCCCCTTTACCTTCCACCGGCTACATTGGTGACCAACAGACGTGATATGAATAATCAACCAACAACCTTCGGAAACTACAACTTCAAACCTTCGTCATCATCCTCAAGTACCCCACTCATTCGCTCCCGAGCATATATTGTCTGCAGTTCTGCAAGCCATCTAGCTTTACAAAGGTTCATCGCAGCACTGGAATAATAATGCTTCCTGTTCCTACGAGCTACTCTCTGCGCTACAGTGTTCGGCACGGCTCTGAGCCTTACTGCTCGCCTCTGCTTCACTGCACTCTCGCAGATTACTTGCCTTCTTCTCGACTCACAGCAGACTACAAGGCAATTCCCTGGCACTTGCAAATTCGTCGACATCTAGACTGCACTATCGACCTCCAGTCTGAGCAGGGGGGTGATGTGGCGGCGCTGTCGTCGCGCCACAAGCAAAAATACATCGAAGCCTAAATCGCACAATCAAAATTCCGAACTAAAAGCAGTATATATAGGAATAGCTCCGAACTACAACTCGGAGCGTTGGCCACTCCCCGGACAGAACACCTTGCCCGGCGGGAGATCTCCCCTTTTCCTTCCAGCGGCTACAGATTCAAGCCGCGAAAAAATTTTGTGACGTTTATGGACCTAATTCAGTGTCAGTAAAAGTAACACAAAGTTGGTTCAAGTATTTTTAGTCCAGGAATTTTGATGTCAAAGATGCAGCTCGCTCTGGTCACCATCACATTATGGATAGAGTCGATGCCATTTTTGAAAAAAATGGAGCAAGATCGGCTTGTTAGTAGTTACGACAAAGCCGAGTTTCATGGTTTTGTATTATTCATATAAATAATTTATGCAGATAGCAAGCAAATGAATTCAATAAGTACGTACTCGGTAAATAAACCGACGAGCCAATGTGACACCCTTGCTTAGCGACAGGCCTTTGATTAGATGCTGGAGTGAGCAAGATGGACTATGCGCAAATTTAATCAGTAGCCTAATGGCAGGGCGCGGACCGTGAACTAGAAAGGTCGTGGGTTCGAATCCGCCATTCGACTACTGTCGTGAACCACTTCTAACACAAGCATTTTAAGCTTAGAAGAAGTGGTTATTACTAATGTTGAATAGGATTACTAGTATTTAAAAAAAAATAAGGTCAACGACCGATACAAGCAAAGTATAGGTGACACACCTCTCAGCTGACGACACTCACGGTACAAACAAATGGACGTAGTTTGAATATGCTGTAAGGGCACGTATTATTATAAATGCCTAAACATTACTACGGCTCAGTTTATGAATAAAAATCATGATATTAAGCGTACATGGTGCTGTCCTTCGTGTGTGAATGTAACATCACGCCGTATTAAGGACTTAAATAAGTCTCTATCTAGCGAACAACCTAATACTATCATCACTAGTAGTAAGTTACAATGCCAGTCAGACAAATGTATTAATATCTCCCATAAGCAACTTTCTTCCCTTCTAGATACAAAATTAAATCATATGCGTAGGTAGCTCAATTACTAAGGAGATTAAGCAAGAGTTTGATATAGCAGTGGATAAACTCAAAAAAGAATTTACGGAGACTACAGATTTTTTATCTGCTCAACTAGTAGAGTAGGAAATAGTCAGAGCTTTTCAGATTTAAAAACACAAGCCCTGGGACGTTCACGTTCTTCGAGTTAGTCGAGACAAATTGTTACGAAATGCTCGTGTTCGCCATGGGCTACAACAGTAGATCTTGGCTTCCCATCACATAAACCTAGACCTTTTTATCTCAATGAGAGGCTTACTAGTACTAATCGACAATTATTTGGAAAAGCACGTGATATTGGGAGAGGTCTTAATTGGAAATACATTTGGACGAAGGAGAGACGTATATTTGCTAGACAGTGTTAGTTCAAAAATACACCAATTGCGATCTATTTCTGATATTGAACGTATTTTTGGAGTTTCATCAGAAAATAGCTCGAAGTAGCCAACTAAAAAAAGTTTTTACATGTTTTTATAAATATTTTAAAGTTTTACCTCTTTTAAGTTATATAATTTTACTTTTATTTCTTTTGCACTCCGCCTGTATTATCTGCGTAGGTTTGTTAATATATTTGTTTAATTTTAGTGTAATTATCTATGTGTTAAATGAACCAATTTATAAAAACATAACCTCATTACTTGTATTTTTTAGTTATATAATTTTTCTTTTACTCCTTTGTCATTTTACCTGTATTAATTGTATAGGTTTGTTAATAATTTTGTTTAATTTTAATGTAATCATAAATTTGCTAAATTAACTTATTTATAAAAATGTAACCTCATTACCTCTATATTTTAGTTATATAATTTTTCTTTTATTGCTTTGGCATTCTACCTGTATATAATAACAAAATGATTAACAAACCTACACAAATAAGGTTTGTTAATCATTTTGTTTAATTTTAGTGCAATTATCAATGTGCTAACTGAACTTATTTATAAAAATGTAACTTCATTACTACTGCAATTGTTAATGTTAATGTGGTTTGTGTTTTTCTCATTGGCCAAGACGCTTACTTTGCTTAACTGTATAAGAATTTTTACCGTAGAAAAGCGCTACAACAAACAAAATGATAAGGTGTATGCACACAGTAGTGAAGAAGCGAGCAACCGTATTCAGCGTGTCCAACGAGGTCATTTTCCATCCTCGCTCATGGTATGGTTGGGAGTTTCTTATTGGGGCTTAACAGAGGTACATTTTTGTGAGAAAGGTGTAAAAACGAATGCAGTTGTGTATCAAAATACAGTCCTGACGAACCTTGTGGAACCTGTTTCTCATACCATGTCCAATAACAGGCACTGGGTATTCCAACAAGATTCGGCGCCAGCTCATAGAGCGAAGAGCACACAAGACTGGCTGGCGGCGCGTGAAATCGACTTCATCCGGCACGAAGACTGGCCCTCCTCCAGTCCAGACTTGAATCCGTTAGATTACAAGATATGGCAACACTTGGAGGAAAAGGCGTGCTCAAAGCCTCATCCCAATTTGGAGTCACTCAAGACATCCTTGATTAAGGCAGCCGCCGATATTGACATTGACCTCGTTCGTGCTGCGATAGACGACTGGCCGCGCAGATTGAAAGCCTGTATTCAAAATCACAGAGGTCATTTTGAATAAACTTTAATGTCATAAGAATCTATGTTTTGTTAAGTTCATTTTGGTATATAAATGCTTACATAATGAATAAACTTGTTTCAATTATTTTATATTAAACATGTGACAGAACTTATGACCTGACTAGGTATATTATTACTTTGACTTAATATACGTTATTAATGCATCACAAATATTTTACCAACATAATATTTATTTTAGGAAATATAATTTTAAAATGCTATTATGAAACGACATAGCCCAACGAATTAGTAAGCTGAAGTGGCAATGGGCCAGCTATATAGCTCGAAGAAACGACAACATGGGGAAAAAAGGTTCTCGAGTGGCAGCCTCGTACCGGTAGGCGAAGTGTAGGGTGATCCCCCACTAGATGGAGTGACGACCTGGTAAGACATGCAGGAAATCGATGGATGCAGGTGGATCAGGACCGTGATTTGTGGCATTCCCTGAGGGAGGCCTATGTTCAGCAGAGGACTTGTGAAGGGCTGTAATAATGATGATGATGAAACTTTGAAAAAAATACAAGTTCTATATATTTTGAAAAAAAATATCTTGAACTTGTATATAAAATACGAAGAAACTTTTCCCTGACCTTATAGTATAAAATAGTTGTTTCTTGCCATCTGTACACTTAAATCTTTTAAACTACGTAACGGATTTTGATGTGGTTTCCATTAATAGACAGAATGATTCAAGAGGAAGGTTTATATGCATAATACATGCATATTATATAATTCTTCTGACCTGTGTATGTGACTGAACTCCTAAACGGCTGAATCAATTTTAATGAAATTTTGTGTGATTAAGTTGATTAGAGTATGGTTTAGATTCACAATTGGACCCAGTTTCTGGCATTGTTGTCGAGATCCAGAAATCAAACCCATGCGAAGCCCGGGCACATCGCTAGTAGTCAAATACATGCTTATACTTAGAGCTGCATGCTGTTGCCATTGTATGCCAGAATATTTTGAATTGTTATCAGGAAAACGTTGCCGCCTATCTCCTGTTTCATTTTCACTTTGTCGCCTCTTATGACAACCAAGGGATGATACAGGATTGGATTCTCTTACGCCACCTGCACTGGGCACATATAACAATATATTTAATACCAATATATCATTATCTAGTGATTTTTTTTAATAGAATAAGGGTCACAAAAAAGCACTCAGTTCATCTGATGGTAAGTGGCTGCTGTGGACCATAGACATCTATCCTTGATTAAACATGTGGATGCATTGTCACTTCTGAGGGCTAAGACGGAGTGCCACGTTTCTAGTAAGAAGAGTCTCTGGTTCTCTACACTCACCATATGAAACACAACAGCATTTAGCTCCTATTTTATGCTGGTATTCTGTGAGAGAGTGGTTCTTCCCCGATCGAGCCGCCTTTTTAGTGCTTCAAATACAATATAGCTGCAGCATGGCTATGCTACATATAATAGTGAAGTTTCATCAAAAGTGAAGATTTAGCAACACTTTTGCTCATTATATTATGTAAATATGCAAGTTAAACAATAATATTAACACAAAAATAAAAACTCACAGCTAGTTGAAAACTTTGTAGACTTGAATGTTGTTTTGCTGAGTGAGTTGCCACTTAAAACATTTCTCCATACATTCTTCAAAAGCTGAGCCATTATGTCTGTTGAAAAATAAAATTTACAATTTTTCAACAAATATATATAAAACCACCAGCTCTGGCCACATTTTAAGCATATGGAGAAAATTATATGATCATTGATTAAAAAATATCAGGGGTCTTGAGGGGATTTTTTAATTACATTTTTACTTTAGGTAATGAATCTTTAGGTAATAAAATTAAAATCAAGAAAATATTTTAAGAATCCCATGTACAATAAAATTACTAGCTATTGCATGCTTGGATACATTCATAGATAATACAAATTGGATACATTATATGAAAAAGAATACATAAGATAGAAACAAATTAAATATACAAAAATATGAAAATATATGCCCCTTTAATTTGCAATAGGTTATATTTAGAAATATAAAACTTACAAATAAAATAATATAAAGGAAATAAAGTAGAAATGTAAGGACTAGTAAACTTGATTTAGTAAATTTATTTAAAAAAATGTTCAACCTTTCAATCACAATTAATGTAAACACAAATCATAAGTCTTATAAATTATTATATTATCTTAATCGGAAATCATTAAATATTTGTCGCCTTCTGAAATTATCACAATAATATTAAAATGATACAATAAAAAAGAAAACTGAAAAAAAGTCAAATTTAAAAATGTAATATGAATATAAAATTATAAATATTAAATAGATGAACATAATCGATTATAAATAGTCGATTACTCGATTATCATTTTCGTGATCGATGTTAAAATATAATCTATCCAAATTTTGTAGAGGTAATATCTCTTTTTATCTTCTTTACTTTATAGCTTAACTTAACAGTGTAGTTTTGGAACGTGCCTCTTTATATGGGCTATTTTTATAAATGTACTAGCTGTTCCCCGCGACTTCGCCCGCGCGTAATTTATTACGATTGGATTTCATGGGTTTTAATTTTGTGCCCGGAACCATAATTCTTTTTCTAAATAAAAGTAGCCTAAGTTACTTCTTATAACATCATCTACCTGCCAGTGAAAGTCGCGTCAAAGTCTGTTTACCCATTTCGGAAATTAGCCGAAACAAACAAACAGACAGACAAACAGACAGATAGAAAGACGACAGACAAAATTTTTTAAAATTGTTTTTTTGTTATAAGTACCGTATATAACTTCAATTGCATATAGTAAAAAGCTGTTATTTCGACATTACAAACAGACACTTCAATTTTATTTATTTGTATAGATTTATTTGGTCACATGTTTTGTTTATTTCTAAATGTATTTTTTGATTGAATGTTTTGTTTATTTCTACATAATGTTTTTGCAATATATTTGCATAGATAAATATAAATTATTTATAAAAAATCTTTAAGTTTTGTTCTTATGTTTTGTGCTGTTAGCAGGCTTTTAATTCTGTAGGTAAAGAATTTAATAGGTATTGTATAAAAAAATTACAGATTCTCTTACCACAATAATTATCTATACAAATAAATAAAATTTAAGTGTCTGTTTATAATGTAAAGATAAAACCTTTTTTACTTAATATATATGAAAGTATATATAGTACTTAGAATTTTTTGTTTGTTTGTCTGTCTGTCTGTTTGTTCCAGCTAATCTCCGAAATGGGTAAACCGACTTTAGCGGAACTTTCACTGGCAGATAGCCGATGTTAAAAAGAATAAGGGGTCCGTGCAAAAAAGTGAAAACCCATGAAATCCAATCGTAATAAATTCCACGCGAATGAATTCGCGGGGAACAGTTAGTTAGGTCTAATTAATTAATAAGGTGTTTTATTCCGAGTGTTATAAATGTATTTTCTTGGGGTTGGGTCCATCGGGTACTCATAACATTCTTTCAAAAGCTGTTACTAAGATTTTCTACTTAGTTTCAAAACCAGCATGCACAATAATAGATTAGCACAATCAATTATTAACCAATTAATTGTTAACTCCTTTCAGGCATAATCGATTTCCAAACGACTCGACTCAACACTTCATGTAATAATCTATGCTACAATTTGACAACATCACCAGATGACTTTTGTCCTAAAAGTCTAGATACCAGGCCACGGCCATAATGGGCCATAAGCACCAAAAAAAAACATCGCGTTTTTTTTTTTGGAGATTACAAAAACAAACATGCGTAAGCGTAAGCTTGGCGTAAGCCAAAGAGTATAGTAACTGTCCTATACAGGAAGCATAGGAAGTATTGGACAGTGGCGTAGGCTTCATATTAGCCTATGATCGCCAGGTATGTTTTTTCCTTTGGTAATAACGAACTCTTACTATTGTAATTTTGCCAGTGTCAAGTATATTAAGAATTAACTTTTTGTGGTTATCATTGCATTTTATGCATTTTTAACGATGGTGCAATTATATTCAAGCAAGGTGCAGTTTTTTATATTGAAAAAAGTACCCAATCCTAATTATTTAAAGTAATATCGACGTTACCTGTTCACGAGATTTTGAGTGAGATTGAGAGGTTCTATGGGCAGCTGTACACGTCATCGTTGGAGCCACACGCAAGTGTGAGTAACGATCAAAGAGCGAGTCTTATCAGACATTATTCCGATGATATCCCGGACGTCAGTCTGAGCGAGATTAGAATGGCTCTCCAGCACCTTAAAAACGGCAAGGCCCCAGGCCAGGATGGAATTACAGCGGAGCTTCTGAAAGCGGGTGGAAAACCGGTACTTGAAGTCCTTCAGAAGCTCTTTAATTCCGTCCTCCATGGTGGCATTACACCGGAGGCGTGGAGCAGAAGTGCGGTGGTCTTGTTCTTCAAGAAAGGCGACAACGCTCTCTTGAAGAACTACAGACCGATTTCCCTTCTGAGCCGCGTCTACGTGCTGTTTTCGAGAGTCATTACGAATCGTCTCGCGCGCAGACTTGACGACTTCCAGCCTCCCGAACAAGCCGGTTTCCGAAAAGGCTTTAGCACCATAGACCACATACATACCCTTCGGCAAATTGTACAGAAGTCCGAGGATAGTAGAGAATACAATATGCCACTATGTCTGGCGTATGTGGACTATGAGAAAGCCTTTGATTCCGTCGAAATTTGGGCGGTGCTGCAGTCCCTTCAGCGATGCCAAGTTGACTGTCGGTATATCGAAGTGTTGAAGTGCTTGTACAGTAGGGCTACGATGGCTATCCGAGTACAGAACCAGAGTACGAAACCTATCCAATTGCAGAGAGGTGTAAGACAGGGTGACGTCATATCCCCGAAACTCTTTACCGCTGCATTGGAAGATGTTTTCAAGCTTCTGGACTGGAAAGGATACGGTATCAACATCAATGGCGAGTACATCACTCACCTTCGATTTGCCGACGATATAGTCCTTATGGCAGAATCGCTGGAGGACCTAAGCATTATGCTCAATGACCTCAATAGTGTTTCCCAACGGATAGGTCTTAAGATGAACATGGACAAAACAAAGATCATGTTTAATGTCCATGTCACACCTATGCCGGTAGTTGTTGGGAACACTAAGCTCGAAGTTGTTGACGAGTATGTTTACCTGGGACAAATAGTCCGACTAGGTAAGTCCAACTTCGACCGAGAGGTCAATCGACGGATTCAACTCGGTTGGGCAGCGTTCGGGAAGTTACGGCACATCTTCTCGTCAGGTATACCTCAAAACTTGAAAACGAGACTGTACACCCAGTGCGTGTTGCCAGTGATGACATACGGAACTGAGACGTGGTCCTTCACTGCTGGCCGGATGAGGAAGCTCAAGGTCGCTCAGCGAGCTATGGAGAGGGCTATGCTCGGAGTTTCTCTGCGTGATAAACTCAGAAATGAGGATATCCGCAGTAGAACCAGAGTGACCGACATAGCCCAACGGATTAGTAAGCTGAAGTGGCAATGGGCCGGCCATATAGCTCGAAGAACCGACAACCGATGGGGAAGAAAGGTTCTCGAGTGGCAGCCTCGTACCGGCAGGCGAAGTGTAGGGCGTCCCCCCACTAGATGGAGTGACGACCTGGTAAGATATGCAGGAAGTCGATGGATGCAGGTGGCTCAGGACCGTGCTTTGTGGCATTCTTTGGGGGAGGCCTATGTTCAGCAGTGGACTTGTGAAGGGCTGTAATGATGATGAAAATGATGACGACGTTATAAGGTGAGTGATCTTTAACTATTTTTATTTCTAAACTACATGGGTGCAGTTTATTAATTAATATTTTTTAGATGTGCTATTTGAAAAACGTCTAATATATATATATATATATATATATATATATATATATATATATATATATATATATATATATATATATATATATATATATATATATATATACTCCATATTCTTAAGCTGGGGTAGGAAGGGGGGGGGGGGAAGGTCGCCGATGGCCCTGTTGCTCTATGATAAAGCTTATCAAACTTATTACTTTGACCACCCCCTTTGAAAAGTAATTATTTTTCAGCGCCCTCAATTTTACATACACTCCTAAAAACTTAAAAACCACAATTTCATAACTTTAATTAATTTAGTTATGGTGTGCTATATTAGTCGGTTCTGGTGTTTAAACTTACATTCTAAACTAGACATTATTACCAGTGAGAGCAATTAAAACGCAACTTTATAATATTAAAAATATATTTTAATCGAATAAAAAAACAATATAGATAGGTAAACAATTTTAGTTTCAAAACTAATCTAATGAGATGAATGAATTTGATGATTTTTAATAAGTTTGTTGATATCAGGTTCGATTTTACTCAAAAACAGTCGCACGTCGCCGCGTTCGGTAACATGCAAACGATTTCTTTTTTTAGTAAGCAGCGTTGTCACAGCGCTAAATCCAAGTTCACACAAATATAACGATGGGAATGCTATCAAAAATCGTTGAACGATCGACCACAATTCAGGGTACAACTGCGGGATTAACTTTTGTAGCCAAAATTCTTGGTAGCCATTTCTAAATTTCATTTTTATTTCCTCGTTCGTTGTCAGTTTTATAAGTTCTTCTTCCAGTTGGGGTGATATTGCTATATTGACATTTGAAAAAGGATCTAACACCCAGTCTGGTATTTCCAAT